AGCAAACATCACCTAAGTGATACCAAGACTCCTCATAGTTTTAAACTTTTAATCGATCATACCAAATAATCTGATGGTGACAACCTGTGACATGGAAAGCCACGTGGATGTGTGGTGGAAATTTTGGCTAACGTGGCAGCACCTCAAAATAAAAGGGGAGGAATGTGTATGGTAGATCGGTAAGTCCTAAGAGTGAACTTGAGACCTCATCCATGTGAAATGATAAGTTTATCCGCAGGCTAATATAATTAGGAATTGAACTCGATACCTTTACCTTCTAAACACAATGTGTAGGCCTTATCGGTAGACTATGTCGCATTTTCTTTCCAATACTTGGCGTAGGCTATTTTACAATATATAATTATATATCAATGTATATTTAATGTATATACCGACTTACCGTATATACTACGCAAGTATGCATGTTTATTTATGTACTTAATATTTTTCACACTTACCACAGAGCTTCTAGTCCAGCGGTATCAGGTGCTGCCTTCCTTCCTTGAGGTCGAGGGTTCAAGTCCCGTGGTGGATGTAGGTGGAATTAGGTGTTAGTTTAGGAGTAGATTATAATATTTGTATTTGCCGGTTAAAAAAAAATCACACTTAAAGTACATGTATTAAATGTGGTTTTATATGTGAAAATAATACATAACACAAATCGTTGAGAAATGATTCGTACACAACAATTTATTTTATACAGAGTTGTATACAAAAAAATATTTTAAAGCTATGTATTGAGAAAAACTATTATACATAGTTGTATATATACAATCTTTTAAAACACTGATTATTGTTTGTATACGATACAATATTTTATAATTTAGAACACAAATTATTGTTTATACAATATTTTAGATCACAAATTATTGTTTAGACTGAAAGGAGTGGGAGGGATGGTTCCCTCACTTTTGGTGGGCCATACCCTTCTACCCCTCACTCTTCTTTCCCTCACCTAAAAGTCAAGGAGTGGGAGGGAAGCCCTTCCCTCACTTTTTTTTTTTAATATTTTAAATAAAATTAATTTTTTTATTTATAAATTTTAAATTAATATCAAACATAAAATTTAATTAAAAATAAAAAGCATTTCATTAAGTAAAATAAAAATTACATTAACCCTAATATTTAAATAAGTAGAAAAAAAACCCCCCAAAAAAAATCAAACAAACTACAATATAGTAAAAATTATTAATTAATATCCTAATTTTATTTAAACCTAGATACGTCACTCGGAATCATCGTCTTCGTCCTCGCCTAGATCATCTGCATCATTCTCCCCAGCGTCACTCTCGTCGTCGGAATCTTCACTCTCGACGAACATATCAGAATCCTCGTCTGATTCGTCAAACAAATCATCATCTTAAGATAACTCTTGCGAGGCTGAACATGAGCCCTATAAATGTGCTCCACCAAATCAGCATGAAGGGCCTGATGAAGGTCGCGATTGTGTACTTCTCTTTTGTTCACCCTATACTCTTGTGTACCAACGGCTACTCCTTCGACATTTGGCAAAACTTCATTTTCGTTGTATCGGCATATCGCTCTTCCTTCGTCTTCAAGAATCATATTATGCAATATGATACATGCATACATTACGTGTTGTAACCTTTTCACCTCATATGACCTTACCCCGACCATTAGTACTTGCCAACGTCTCTTAAGTACACCAAATGCTCGCTCCACATCCTTCCTAGCTGACTCTTGCGCCTCTTTAAACTTTTTCCTTTTCGGGTCGTTAGGACATGTAAACGATTTCACAAAAACAGACAAATGAGGATATATACCGTCAGTAAGATAGTATCCACGCTTATATGCTACCCCATTTGCTTGAAAAGGTACATCGTGTGACTTTCCAAGGTAGATATCGTTGAATACAGGCGACTGGTCTAGCACGTTGATGTCATTGTTTGCACCAGCTGGACCAAAGAATGCATGCCATATCCAAAGATCATGTGATGCGATAGCCTCTAGAATAATCGTCGGCTCTTTGTGGTCGCCTCTCATGTACTGACCACGCCATGCGTTGGGGCATAATGACCAACTCCAATGCATGCAATCGATACTACCTAGCATTCCAGGGAATCCATGTTTGCCTTCATGCACCGTATACAATTGGTGGATATCGTTGATAGTTGGTTTGCGCAAATATCGTTGCCCGTAAACCAAACAGATCGCTTTGCATACACAGAGTCCCTCACGGTACGCTCTGACATTCTAAAATACTCGTCCCATTTGTCTGCGCCCATGCCATATGCTAGCTGACGAATTGAAGCCGTGCATTTTTGAATGGGAGAGAAACCTTTTTTCCCCTTGCATCAATTTTCCATTGGAAATATGGAAAACGGCCTTCCAAACCGCCAACAATACGTAAAAATAGTTCCTTCCTCATCCGGAACCGACGTCGAAACTTTACAGCGTAGACGGCGTCATCTGCAAAATAATCTTCTATAAGACGATCGTGTCCGGCTTCGTGATTTCTACGTAACAGCGGCTTTCTTAGGTTAGGTCGTGCACGTGATGTTTCACCAAGTCGGTTTTGATAGTATGCAACCGTTTTCGCCATGACGGAACCGATAAACTTAGCCTCCTCTACTGCCGTCGAATCGGATGATGAAGATGATGACATTTTGAGTAATATTTTTAAGAAAGAAATATAGAGAAATATAGATGTTTCACCAAGTCGGGACTCTCTCCCCCCAGTAGCTTCCTGCGGTTCCTTTCCCGCACCCACGGTGCGGTGTGCATAGATGCGGGATCGGTTCCCGCTCCTTCCCCGCAGTCCCACTCCGTCCGGCCTTAAAGAAAAACTAATGAGATGAGTGGGGGTACATGGCCCCAATGGATGGGAAATTGTTACACATGATCAATTGAGATTTGATTAAAAAAAGTGTTTTTTTTATTAGGCCCTTTGTCTATTGGGTTGTAAAAATTGAAGCCGCCAAATTTTGAGGATGGAAGCATGCAGACGGCAGTTTATCAAAATCATCATTGCAAAACAAATCTTGCTTATAATTGGAACTTTAGTCCATTTTCTTGGAAATTACCCAAAATCATGGGAAAATACCGGCAATAGTCAAAAAATGGCCGGTAATTTCAAAATTTAAACATAAAAAATGATATTTTCGGGTATAGACATGCATTCTACGGAGGTAACCTCTGAGGAGCTCCACGGAATCGTTGTAGCTTCGCGGAATGGCAAAATCGTAAATAAATCAAGATATTAAGAAAAAAAACTCAAGATCCATTACGCGGAGCTACCTCCGAGCTCCGCGGAATGAACTCATTCCGCGGAGGTAGCTCCGAGGAATTAATCTTCAGAATTTTTTTTCCACATCGTTTTTTCAGATTTTATACTCAATTTCCAACTAATTATTTCATACTATCATAATTTTTTTCTTGAAAACAATTAGTTGGAGAATGAGTATAAAACCCGAAAAAAACCGATGTGAAAAAAAATCATAAGATAAATTCCTCGAAGCTACCTCCGCGGAACGGATCTTGAGTTTTTTTTTTTTTTTTTTAAGGGACAATTTTATATATGTCATTCTTAAACATTAAAATATCATATTTACCCAACTTAATTTTTAAATATCATATTACCCTTCATAAAATTTCTAAATATCATATTTACCGTTCATAAAATTTCAAAATATCATATATGTCCTTTTTAAACATCAAAATATCATATATGTCCTTAAATATCAAAAATATCATATATATGCACTTTTTAAACATCAAAATATCAACGGTAATATCTAAAATATCCTCCATCAACAACATGATAATAATCAACAAAAACAAAACTAAACAATCAAAATATACATTCCATAGAGAGGGTTGAAGATGAACCTTTTTGTTTGTCAAAAGGGCGGCATTCCAACAATTTAGAAGTTCACATTCCATTATCATAGATATAAGGATAATATGGTTAACATTTTTAATTATTATAAGAATTCTAAGGTATAAAAAATTATTATAAAATATTAAAAACATTATAAAAAATGATTTGAGCAAATATGATATTTTGAAGGTTTATGAAGGATAAATATGATATTGAGAAATTAAGCTGGACAAATATGATATTTTGAAGTTTAAGAGGGGTATATATAAAATTCTCCCTTTTTTTAATATCTTGATTTATTTACGATTTTGCCACACCATGGAGCTACAGTGATTCCGCGGAGCTCCTCAAAGCTTACCTCCGCGGAATGCATGTCTATACCTGGAAATAGCATTTTTTATGTCTAAATTTTGAAATTGCTCCTCATTTTTTGTCTATTGCCAGTATTTTCCCAAAATCATCCCTTAACTTTTGTTTCTATTTGGCTATTTTCCCGACTCAAATGACTTTTATACCTTTTTCTAGAATTTGTAATTAGTAGTCACTAGTTAATAGAATGACCCGAGCCGAAAAAAGTTTGGTTTTTGAATATATTTTTGTGCCCCCACCTATATAAAATATTAGATCCGCCACCATGTTTACGAATTAGCTTCCATTTACAAATATCTGCAAATAATGTAAAAATATGTATTATATATATTTATGCACAAAAAGTGTATATTATATACATTTTTGTTAAAAAGAATACAAATTTTATGTATTTTGTACGTTAATCACACACTTACTACTGCATACATATTCACATATATGGACAGAATCCAACAAAAGTATGTGTTTTAATAATTAGTTTGACCAAAAAATCAAGGAAAGAGGTATATAATCAATCAAGAGCTGGAATAAGAACCTATTAAACAACATCAAATCCAGAACAATGCCATAAAAATCATATATAATAAAAAAAGATAACTAATGTTTTCAAAAGCTAGCTAGCAAGACTATTGTGTAAATCAAGTAAAAAAGAACACGAGATTCAAGAGCTCAAATGCCTACCAACCCCCAAACAACAAAATTCACATTAATACACACAATATTGTGTAAATCAAGTAAAAAAGAACACAAAATTATTACCTCGTCTTCTCCAAAAGGCAATGCTATCTCCTCAAGCTGGCTCAAATCCTTTCACACCATAGTTATTGATGTGAGTAATGCTTGTGATAGTGGACATTGGCTTGACTAAAAGGTCATCCATCACCATATAAGTAACAGTCTCCTTCACCGTAGCTTCTTCATTACTAGGCCACCTAAAGAACGTCATTGGGACATTCATCAAACCATCACAATGCGGACACCTAGCGTCGTGATGATCACTCACATGCCTAAGACCACAAAACCCGTACCCATCAAAGGGTATTGAACCTGGAGCATAGCTACACACACTACAAGAATGCGGAGCTATTGTGATGACACCTATCCCGACGACGCAAGTCATCGCTACAAGTCTAGCTATGCCGACGACGTGTCGTCGCCATACCTTTTTGCAAACTTTGACTAGATTCCTTACATGTCATTGCTACAAGTCTGGTGGGAGCGACCAAATTGTTCACGGTATTTTGAAAATCTATACCGACGACTAGTCTTCGGGATAGGTATCGATAAATCTATTTCTCATTTATTTTTATTCCATGATCCAGAATATTAGAACGACATAGTTTTATGTAAGTTAAACCGACGACATGTCGTCGGCATGCCACGTGGCGATCCGCGTGAAATGTCTATCCCGACAACATGTCGTCGGCATAGATTTTTATTTATTTTATTTTTTTTGTTTCAGCAAAAAGTGGAACGACATCGTTTATGTAGGATTGTGTCATCACAGCAAGATGAATGAAACATGTTAGTTTTTTTTTCTAATTTTTATTGAAATTGAAATTGTATATATGTATAAGTTTATATGAAATTGAAATTGAAATTGATCCTTGTACGATTATATGATTGTGTTGTTTGTTTGGTATGTGTATGATTGTGTTGTTTGTTTGGTATATTGTTTTGTTTGTTTGATATATGTATGTTGTTTGTTTGTTTAGGTTTATTTGAAATTGAAGTTGTATGTATAAAATGTTAATTTACTTGGTTAATGTTATATGAAATTGAAATTGTGATTAAAATATTATATGAAATTGAAATTTGTTTAGGTACATATGAAATTGAAATTGTATGTATACAATGTTAATTTACTTGTTAAGGTTTATATGAACTCGGAATTTTGTATGATTGTGAAATATGTATGATTGTGCTTTTTGTTTAGGTTGCTATGAAATTTTATGTATGAAATGTAAAATATATATGCTTGTGTCACTTGTTTAGTTTATTAGTTTGAGTGCATGAAGTGATAAAGTGTTTAATTTTTAAGTTAAACTGTTTGTCTTTAAGAACAAAGGTTATTAATAGCAACATAAAACAAAATATAAAAATATTTAAACTAATAAAAGTGTGTTTATTAAGAACAAAAGTACGTTTATTAAGAACAAAGGTTATTAAGAAAAAAATATTTAAACTACAAATGTTATTAAAAGCAACATACTCTTTTTAGCTTATTTATGAGAACATTTTATTTCATTTCTATTTGACAGTTATAACATAAAACAAAATAATAAAACCACGTTGCTATTAAAAGTACGATGTTATAATAAAACAAAAAAAACAAAAAAAAATATTAAAAGTACAATGCTATAATTGAAAAAAATAAGATGCTATATATACTATAAATATGAAAAAGAAGTGAAATAGAATACTTTAAACAAACTAATAAAAATACGTTCATTAAGAACAAAGGTTATTAATAACAACATAAAACAAAATATAAAAATATTTAAACTAATAAAAGTACTAAGAACAAAGTTTATTAAGAAAAAAATATTTAAACTACAAAGGTTATTAATAGCAACATACTTTTTTTAGCTTGTTTATTAAAGCAAATTATTTTCATTTCTATTTGATAGTTATAACTTAAAACAAAATAATAAAATTACGTTGCTATTAAAAGTACGATGTTATAATAAAACAACAAAAAAAAACAAAATAATATTAAAAGTAAAATGCTATAATTGAAAAAATAAGATGTGTGTATATATATATATATATATATATATATATATATATATATATATATATATATATATATATATATATATATATATATATATATATATATATATATATATGAAAGAGAAGTGAAAATAGAATGCTTTAAACAAACTAATAAAAGTACATTGCTATAAAAGTATATTGACTCATTGATTTTTAGTTTACGTCTCTTCTTTATAATCATCACGAGCCTAGAAATACCCGCCCGAAATTGATTTAGAAATTAATTTCGGGTTGTCCCCGTTTTGGGACTGCTTTTTGTATACTTTATCTCATTTAGGATGTGAGTGTGTATTGCATGATTGTTTGTTTAATAAAAATTTGTTGTCATTTTCTCCTTGCTCCTCGGGTATATATTTCTTTCTATACTTGGGAGTCAAGGGGAAATGCTGCCGATTTTTCTCAAACAAACACTCATGCAAAACACATTCATATATGAGATAAGGTATTCAAAAAGTAGGTTTAGAAGCCTACCCTTGTGAATACTCTATCAATTTCGTCCGATTTTTACTTCTAGGGTATATATTTCTTTATATAGTTGTGAATGCTCTATCCATTCCGTCCAATTTTTTTCTGAAACAAAAAGTCATGCAATACCCATTCACATATTGCCAAAATACTATTTAACTATGTATACAATGTAATTTTTAATAACGAAACAATAATGATGATCGATAAAAGTTGGATTCGTGAAAACCGAACGTCCCCAGAATTCTTGGAAGGTCTTAAAAACTTTATGAAGATTGCTAGGAAACATGTTGACTCTGAAGACAAAGTGCGTTGTTCGTGCATAAAGTGTGTGAATATGTATCGACAGTTGTTGAGTACGGTTTATGCCCACATACATGACCGTGGGTTTCTAAAATCGTATGCTATATGACATCATCACGGTGAGAAACGTCATGTTTCGGATTTGGGCTACAATTCGACTTTGATAAACATTCTAACAACTAATGAGATGTTTGATGTAATTGATGATGTTATGGCGGAACAAAATACAAATGAAGAAAATACAGATGATGAAGGACGAGGCATGGACCCATAATTTGATGCTTTGTTTGAGGAGCTCGATACCGAGTTATACCCTGATTGTGAGATGTCTTCTTTAAACTTTTTAGCAAATTTGTTGCATATTAAAGTGATCAATAAATGGACAAATAGTTCGTTTGACCAACTTGTATACTTGCTAAAAGTTGCTTTCCCGAACAACAAGATTCCAACTTCACACTATGAAGTTAAGAAAAAGTTGAGAAAGATAGGGTTAGGATATCAATCCATCCATGCTTGCAAATATGATTGTGCTTTGTTTTGGAAGGAGAATGATTCCATGTAGAATTGCCCGATTTGTAACGAGAGTAGATAGGTGGATACAACCACAAAGGGGAAGCGAATACCACAAAAAGTGTTGTTGTACTTTCCTTTGACCCCAAGGCTCCAACGGATGTATAGTTCCAGATTCACAGCTAAGATATGATTTAGCATATTACTGGACGATCAACGGATGGTATGATGCATCATCCGGTAGATGGGAAGTCATGGCAAGAATTTGACAAGAGATATCTAGAGTTTGCCAAAGAATCTAGAAATGTTCGTCTAGGTTTAGCTGCTGATGGCTTTAATCCATTCGGAAACTTTAATAACAATTATAGTATTTGGCCGGTTATATTGACTACCTACAATACACCACCATGGATATGTATGAAAGAGTCTTCTTTCATGCTAACTTTGTTGATTCTTGGCCCTAGATCAACCGCAAAGGACATTGATGTTTACTTGAGGCCTTTGGTGGATGAGTTGAAAATGTTATGGGCCGAAGGAGTCCAAATGAGAGATGCATCAACCAACACTGTATTCAATATGTGTGTGATGTTGTTATGGACTATAAATGATTTCCCAGCACGTGGCAGTATGTCTAGATGGTGTGGTCAAGGTTATTTAGCATGCCCTACTAGTAACGAAGACACATCTTTCATTTATGTGACTAACATGATGTATTATGTTAGTCACAAACAATTCTTGAATATAAATCATAGCTGGAGGGAGAGTCTATTGTTTGATGGTCAACATGAGACAAGACCGCGTCCTAGACGATTCAGTAATGCAACTATATTAAAGCAAGTAAATTGTCTCTCTAATCGAATTCCAGGGAAACATACTGATTATGGGGGTAAAAAAAGAAAGCGTGAGGATGAAAGAAAAAAGAGAGAGTTGAATTGGACGAAACGAAGTATCTTCTTTGAGCTTGAGTATTGGTCTTCCCTCGACCTAAAACACAATTTCGATGTTATGCATGTTTCAAAGAATGTGAATGAGAGTGTGTTGAATACTGCACTTATGAACGATAGAAGCAAAGATAGAAAATAAGCAAGAGTTGACTTGAAAAATATGGACATTCGACCAGATCAATGGCCAAAAGAGAAGTCAAGAAGATGAAGAAACACAACAAGGAAGAAAGCAAGAAGAAAGAAATACTCTCACATGCTTCTTACTCTTTCAAACCAATTGATCGACAACCTTCCTGTCAATTCATTAAAGGAGTGAGACTACCTGATGGTTTTGGATTGAACTTTAAGAAGAAGGTTAATGATATTGAATCAAATTTGGTTGGGCTGAAGTCTCACGATCATCACGTCCTCATACAACGATTGCTAACTATAGAGGTTCGAGAATGTCTCCCACCAAATGTTTCAAGAACAATCATTGACATGTGTACATTCTTTAAAAAAATTTATGCACGGTCATTGGATGTTAACGACATGAGAAATGCCATAACAGAAGTGGTGAAGATATTATGCAATCTTGAGTTGATATATCCTCCAGCATTTATTGACATAATGATTCATATTATTCTTCATTTACCTGATGAAGCCATTCTTGGAGGTCCTGTACACATGATATGGATGTATCCTTTTGAAAGATATATGAAAAAACTTAAAAATTATGTCAGAAACAAAGCCAAACCAGAAGGTTCAATAGCAGAGAGTTATGTTGCAGACGAAGCTTTGACATTCTGCTCTATGTATCTTGAGGGTATGAAAACTTGTAACATCCCGGAAATTCAGAAGTATAGTCGGAGGGCTAAAAGTGTAAATAAGAAGGTCGACTCGGCGAGTCGATGGATAGACTCGGCGAGTCGAGTCGCGTTACGGGTCACGTGTTAAGTGACCAACTCGGCGAGTCTCATGGGTGGACTCGGCGAGTTGGTGTTGTATGAAGAAAACCCTAATCCCGGGGGTTGTGCCCTATATAAAGAACATAATACCCTCTCCCCAGCCTCTTTAGCACTCCCTTTAACGTCCAGAAGCTTTCCCCATCGATTTTAAACCCTAAATTGAGAGTGAAAAG